GGGCACCGGGAGCTTAGCGGGCACCGGGGCCGCTTCTCCGCCGCTCGTAGCGCGGCCTCAGCCGCCGCTCGGTGCCGGGGCTCGGCGAAGGGAGGATTTTTCGTTCCGGCAGCTCCCGGGCGCCCGCTGCCCTCCGTCTTCCCGGTGGGACCGGCCCGCAGCCTTYCCCCACGACCGCCGGGCATCGCCGCTGCACGGTCCTGGGGCGCTGAGGCCGCAGGGCGGGGTGGGTTTGGGGTAATTTTCCTCGTTTTCGTTAAAAATCTTTAGCTGGTGTCATGTTCGCCAGCGGGCCCGGTGGCGGGGCACGGCGGAGCCCGGCTGTCCGGCTGTCCGGCTGTCCGGTTGTCCGGCTGTCCGGCCCGGCCTTGCCGCAGTCCCGGGAGTGGAGAACCGGGAGCCGGGAACGGGGAGCGGGAGACGGGGAGCGGGGAATCGGTTCCGGCCGCCAGCGCCTTCCCCGGGCCGCGGCTCCATCCCCGCTGGCCCCTCCGCGTCCCGCAGAACCGGGGCTGCGGCCCGGGACCACCAGCCTTGAGCGGGGCCCGTGCGCTGCGCTCTGCCCGCTCGGCCTTTTTCGTTCGCTTTTTTTCCTTCCCTTTTTACCCCTTTTATTTTTATTTTATTTACTCCCTTTTAGTCTCTGTATTGCTACGGCTTTATTTCGCCTTTTAATTTTATTTTTTTCCTTTTAATTTCATTTTTCCCCGCTTTGTTTACTCCCCTCTCCGTGCCGTTCCGGGTATTTCAGGGACGGGCCCAGGCCGCGGCAGACTCGGACATTCAGCGGCCACTCCGGCCCGAGGCCTTGCACTCCCGGCGGCTCTCAGGCCCCGAACCGRGCACCTCCCGCCTCTACCGAGCTCTGCCCGGTGCCCCGGGCCTTACCCAGACCCCTGCGGGTCCCCCCAGCCCAGGGCGGTGCCCGGTACCGGGCGGTGGGACCGGCGGGGCTCGGGCGGGCGCCAGGAGCTGCGWATTCACGGGGCTGCTTGGGTTAAAAATTTAATTTATTTCTTTTTAATCCACGGCCGTTACAACCGTTTCGATTTGAGGGGATCCGGGCAGCACCGGGCAGKGGGCRGCCGCCCCCGGGAAACATCGCCGCYRCCTCCGCCKCTTGTTCCGCCCGGTTTCGCCCYGTTTCGGGGACAGCGGMGGCACGGAGCCYCCCGAGGCGGCGGAGATGCCCGGGACACCCCCGCACACGCGGGGTCCGTCATTCCCCGCTGGAAACCGGGAGCCGCCCCCCTCGGTGCCGGTGCCGGGAGCGGCTGTGCCGGATCAGGGAATTTCGGGGCTCCCCCGCTGACCCATCCCGGGGTGGCGATGGGGTAACCCCGGTAACAGCGGGGACCCTCGGGCTCCCGGGCTGCGGGGCACCGCGGGGAAGCGAGACCGGAGCCCCCCGACCCCAGCCCGGCCCGGGGAGGGGCAGAGCCGGCCGGGGCTGGGGGATTTTTTTATTCGTTGCCACCTCTGCCGGCCCTGCCCCGGCTCGCCGGGGGTMCCGGTGGGTGAGCCCCCCGAGAAGGCGGCACCCCCGCCGCGGGGACCGGA